CGCCACCGCCCCTAGGAGCGCTCATGGGGGCGCCATCGCACATAGTAGGTCCCATAGGTGCGCCAACACCCTTTATGGAGGACCTCTGGGGGCGCCGCCGGCCTTGGGAGGGCCTCCTAGGGACGTCGCCGCCCCGATGATTGTCCATAAACGGAACCACGTATCTGGGAGGGCCCATGGAGGCGCCATTTCACTTGTAAGAACCCCTGGGATGCCATCATCCCTAAAAGGGCAGCTGTGGTAGCAGATACCCCGCAGAGGGCCTCTGTGGCCACCAATGCCCTTGGGAGGGCGTTTTTGTTCGACACCACCCCAGGGAATTTTCCTGGAGGCACCACCACTCCTGGGAGGGCCCTTGAGGGCGCTGACGCCCCTTAGAAGGCACCTAGGGATGCCGCCGGAACTGGGAAAGTCCTTGGGGGTGCCGACTGCCCTGGGAGGGCCCCTGAGGGCGCCCCCACACCTGTGAGGTCCATTGGTGGCGCACCAGCACCTAGCAGGTCTCCTGGGGGGCAGTTGTTTTTGCTTTATTTAGAACTCTTGGAGATATTTTGACGTTAAATAAATACGATTCCAATCGCATTTCCAGTATCATTTCATCCTGAATAATGTAAAGCAGAACAAATATCCAACAGCAAAACATAAGTTGGGGTGTTGTGTTGACTGACTGCTGTTCTCCTATTGGCTGTAGTTCGGTGGATTTACATTTTAGTCCACCAATCACAGTTAAGTATGGGATTTTTGGTCATGCACGACAGAACGACCATACCAAGCTATAGAGCTCCCAGGAGGGTCGCCTCTGGTAGGGCCCTTGGGGACTCTGCCGTTCTGTGAGGGCCACGAGGGCGCCTGCGCCCTTGGGAGTTCATGGGCGCTGCCACCTGGTAGGTCCCGTGGGGACAAGCTGCCCAGAGGCAGGGCCCCGGCACTCCTGGGCGGCACTCAGGCGCCTCCGCCCGTAGGGGCCCCAGGTTACGCCACCCTGGAGGCGCCAATGCCCCTAACTGAAAGCCGGGCTGTGGGGAGCCGCTGCCCCTGGGGCGCTATCGCCAGTGACAGGCACCCTCGGGACGACACTTTTCTGGAAGGAACCTTGAAGGCGGCGCACCTGGGAGGACCATGGATGCCTTGCACCTGTGAGGTCATTGGTGGCTGCCTTTCTTAACAGGTCTCCTGGGGGCAGTTGTTTTTGCTTTATTTAGAACTCTTGGAGATATTTTGAGGTTAAATATATACGATGCCAATCGCATTTCCATTATCATTTCACCCTGAACAATGTAAAGCAGAACAAATATCCAACAGCAAAACATAAGTTGGGGTGTTGTGTTGACTGACTGCTGTTCTCCTATTGGCTGTAGTTCGGTGGATTTGCATTTTAGTCCACCAATCACAGTTAAGTATGGGATTGTTGGACATGCACGACAGAACGACCTTACCAAGCTATAGAGCTCCCAGGAGGGTCGCCTCTGGTAGGGCCCTTGGGGGCTCTGCCGTTCCTGGGAAGGCCACTAAGCGCGCCACCGCCATTGGGAGGGTTCGTGAGGGCGCTGCCACACCTTGGTAGGTCCCGTAGGGGCAAGCTGCCCAGGGCAGGGCCCCAGCTGCTCTTGGGCGGGCACTCAAGGGCGCCTCTGCCTATGGGAGGGCCCTTAGGGCCGCCACCGCCCCTAGGAGCGCTCATGGGGGCGCCATCGCACCTAGTAGGTCCCATAGGTGCGCCAACACCCTTTATGGAGGACCTCTGGGGGCGCCGCCGGCTTTGGGAGGGCCTCCTAGGGACGTCGCCGCCCCGATGATTGTCCATAAAGTGAACCACGTATCTGGGAGGGCCCATGGAGGCGCCATTTCACTTGTAAGAACCCCTGGGATGCCATCATCCCTAAAAGGGCCGCTGTGGTAGCAGATACCCCGCAGAGGGCCTCTGTGGGCACCAATGCCCTTGGGAGGGCGTTTTTGTTCGACACCACCCCAGGGAATTTTCCTGGAGGCACCACCACTCCTGGGAGGGCCCTTGAGGGCGCTGACGCCCCTTAGAAGGCACCTAGGGATGCCGCCGGAACTGGGAATGTCCTTGGGGGTGCCGACTGCCCTGGGAGGGCCCCTGACGGCGCCCCCACACCTGTGAGGTCCATTGGTGGCGCACCAGCACCTAGCAGGTCTCCTGGGGGCAGTTGTTTTTGCTTTATTTAGAACTCTTGGAGATATTTTGACGTTAAATATATACGATTCCAATCGCATTTCCAGTATCATTTCATCCTGAATAATGTAAAGCAGAACAAATATCCAACAGCAAAACATAAGTTGGGGTGTTGTGTTGACTGACTGCTGTTCTCCTATTGGCTGTAGTTCGGTGGATTTACATTTTAGTCCACCAATCACAGTTAAGTATGGGATTGCTGGTCATGCACGACAGAACGACCATACCAAGCTATAGAGCTCCCAGGAGGGTCGCCTCTGGTAGGGCCCTTGGGGACTGTGCCGTTCCTGGGAGGGCCACTAAGGGCGCCACCGCCCTTGGGAGGGTTCGTGAGGGCGCTGCCACCCCTGGTAGGTCCCGTAGGGACAAGCTGCCGAGGGCAGGGCCCCAGCTGCTCCTGGGCGGGCACTCAAGGGCGCCTACGCCAATAGGAGGGCCCCCAGGTTCGCCACCGACCCTGGGAGCGCCAATGCCGCTAACAAAAGCCCGGGCTGTGGGCGCCACTGCCCCTGGGAGCGCTATTGCCCGTGACAGGAACCCTCGGGACGCCAACGCTTCTGGAAGGAAGCTTGAAGGCGCCACCGTCCATGGGAGGGCCCATGGAGGTACCATCGCACCTAGCAGGGCCCATAGGTGCGCCAACACCCTTTATGGAGGACTTCTGGGGGCGCCGCCGCCCTTGGGAGGGCCTCCTAAGGACGTCGCAGCCCCGATGATTGTCCATAAAGGGGACTATGTATCTGGGAGGGCCCCTGGAGGCTCCGTTTCACCTGGAAGAACCCCTGGGATGCCATCACCCTAAAAAAGGACCCCTGTGATAGTAGATACCCCTCAGAGGGCCTCTGTGGGCACCACTGCCCTTGGGAGGGCGTTTGTGGGCACCACACAGGAATTTCCTGGGCTCACCCTCCTGGGAAGGTCCTTGGGGGTGCCGACAGCCCTGGGAGGGCCCCTGAGGGCGCCCCCACGCCTGTGAGGTCCATTGGCGGCGCACCAGCACCTAGCAGGTCTCCTGGGGGCAGTTGTTTTTGCTTTATTTAGAACTCTTGGAGATATTTTGAGGTTAAATATATACGATGCCAATCGCATTTCCATTATCATTTCACCCTGAACAATGTAAAGCAGAACAAATATCCAACAGCAAAACATAAGTTGGGGTGTTGTGTTGACTGACTGCTGTTCTCCTATTGGCTGTAGTTCGGTGGATTTGCATTTTAGTCCACCAATCACAGTTAAGTATGGGATTGTTGGACATGCACGACAGAACGACCTTACCAAGCTATAGAGCTCCCAGGAGGGTCGCCTCTGGTAGGGCCCTTGGGGGCTCTGCCGTTCCTGGGAAGGCCACTAAGCGCGCCACCGCCATTGGGAGGGTTCGTGAGGGCGCTGCCACACCTTGGTAGGTCCCGTAGGGGCAAGCTGCCCAGGGCAGGGCCCCAGCTGCTCTTGGGCGGGCACTCAAGGGCGCCTCTGCCTATGGGAGGGCCCTTAGGGCCGCCACCGCCCCTAGGAGCGCTCATGGGGGCGCCATCGCACCTAGTAGGTCCCATAGGTGCGCCAACACCCTTTATGGAGGACCTCTGGGGGCGCCGCCGGCTTTGGGAGGGCCTCCTAGGGACGTCGCCGCCCCGATGATTGTCCATAAAGTGAACCACGTATCTGGGAGGGCCCATGGAGGCGCCATTTCACTTGTAAGAACCCCTGGGATGCCATCATCCCTAAAAGGGCCGCTGTGGTAGCAGATACCCCGCAGAGGGCCTCTGTGGGCACCAATGCCCTTGGGAGGGCGTTTTTGTTCGACACCACCCCAGGGAATTTTCCTGGAGGCACCACCACTCCTGGGAGGGCCCTTGAGGGCGCTGACGCCCCTTAGAAGGCACCTAGGGATGCCGCCGGAACTGGGAAAGTCCTTGGGGGTGCCGACTGCCCTGGGAGGGCCCCTGAGGGCGCCCCCACACCTGTGAGGTCCATTGGTGGCGCACCAGCACCTAGCAGGTCTCCTGGGGGCAGTTGTTTTTGCTTTATTTAGAACTCTTGGAGATATTTTGACGTTAAATAAATACGATTCCAATCGCATTTCCAGTATCATTTCATCCTGAACAATATAAAGCAGAACAAATATCCAACAGCAAAACATAAGTTGGGGTGTTGTGTTGACTGACTGCTGTTCTCCTATTGGCTGTAGTTCGGTGGATTTACATTTTAGTCCACCAATCACAGTTAAGTATGGGATTGTTGGTCATGCACGACAGAACGACCATACCAAGCTATAGAGCTCCCAGGAGGGTCGCCTCTGGTAGGGCCCTTGGGGACTTTGCCGTTCCTGGGAGGGCCACTAAGGGCGCCACCGCCCTTGGGAGGGTTCGTGAGGGCGCTGCCACCCCTGGTAGGTCCCGTAGGGACAAGCTGCCCAGGGCAGGGCCCCAGCTGCTCCTGGGCGGGCACTCAAGGGCGCCTCCGCCAATAGGAGGGCCCCCAGGTTCGCCACCGACCCTGGGAGCGCCAATGCCGCTAACAAAAGCCCGGGCTGTGGGCGCCACTGCCCCTGGGAGCGGTATTGCCCGTGACATGAACCCTCGGGACGCCAACGCTTCTGGAAGGAAGCTTGAAGGCGCCACCGTCCATGGGAGGGCCCATGGAGGTACCATCGCACCTAGCAGGGCCCATAGGTGCACCAACACCCTTTATGGAGGACTTCTGGGGGCGCCGCCGCCCTTGGGAGGGCCTCCTAAGGACGTCGCCGCCCCGATGATTGTCCATAAAGGGGACTATGTATCTGGGAGGGCCCCTGGAGGCTCCGTTTCACCTGTAAGAACCCCTGGGATGCCATCACCCTAAAAATGGACCCCTGTGATAGCAGATACCCCTCAGAGGGCCTCTGTGGGCACCACTGCCCTTGGGAGGGCGTTTGTGGGCGACACCACCCCAGGGAGTTTTCCTGGAGGCACCACCACTCCTGGGAGGGCCCTGGGGGCGCTGCAGCCTCTTAGAAGGCACCTAGGGATGCCGCCGGAACTGGAAAGGTCCTTGGGGGCGCCGACAGCCCTGGGAGGGCCCCTGACGGCGCCCCCACACCTGTGAGGTCCATTGGTGGCACACCAGCACCTAGCAGGTCTCCTGGGGGCAGTTGTTTTTGCTTTACTTAGAACTCTTGGAGATATTTTGACGTTAAATAAATACGATTCCAATCGCATTTCCAGTATCATTTCATCCCGAACAATGTAAAGCAGAATAAATATCCAACAGCAAAACATAAGTTGGGGTGTTGTGTTGACTGACTGCTGTTCTCCTATTGGCTGTAGTTCGGTGGATTTACATTTTAGTCCACCAATCACAGTTAAGTATGGGATTGTTGGACATGCACGACAGAACGACCTTACCAAGCTATAGAGCTCCCAGGAGGGTCGCCTCTGGTAGGGCCCTTGGGGACTCTGCCGTTCCTGTGAGGGCCACTAAGGGCGCCACCGCCCTTGGGAGAGTTCGTGAGGGCGCTGCCACCCCTGGTAGGTCCCGTAGGGACAAGCTGCCCAGGGCAGGGCCCCAGCTGCTCCTGGGCGGGCTCTCAAGGGCGCCTCCGCCAATAGGAGGGCCCCCAGGTTCGCCACCGCCCCTGGGAGCGCCAATGCCCCTAACGAAAGCCCGGGCTGTGGGAGCCGCTGCCCCTGGGAGCGCTATCGTCGGTGACAGGCACCCTCGGGACGACACTTCTTCTGGAAGGAACCTTGAAGGCGCCACCGCCCCTGGGAGGGACCATGCGGATGCCATCGCACCTGTGAGGTCCATTGGTGGCGCACCAGCACCTAGCAGGTCTCCTGGGGGCAGTTGTTTTTGCTTTATTTAGAACTCTTGGAGATATTTTGACGTTAAATAAATACGATTCCAATCGCATTTCCAGTATCATTTCATCCTGAACAATGTAAAGCAGAACAAATATCCAACAGCAAAACATAAGTTGGGGTGTTGTGTTGACTGACTGCTGTTCTCCTATTGGCTGTAGTTCGGTGGATTTACATTTTAGTCCACCAATCACAGTTAAGTATGGGATTGTTGGTCATGCACGACAGAACGACCATACCAAGCTATAGAGCTCCCAGGAGGGTCGCCTCTGGTAGGGCCCTTGGGGACTCTGCCGTTCCTGGGAGGGCCACTAAGGGCGCCACCGCCCTTGGGAGGGTTCGTGAGGGCGCTGCCACCCCTGGTAGGTCCCGTAGGGACAAGCTGCCCAGGGCAGGGCCCCAGCTGCTCCTGGGCGGGCACTCAAGGGCGCCTCCGCCAATAGGAGGGCCCCCAGGTTCGCCACCGACCCTGGGAGCGCCAATGCCGCTAACAAAAGCCCGGGCTGTGGGCGCCACTGCCCCTGGGAGCGGTATTGCCCGTGACATGAACCCTCGGGACGCCAACGCTTCTGGAAGGAAGCTTGAAGGCGCCACCGTCCATGGGAGGGCCCATGGAGGTACCATCGCACCTAGCAGGGCCCATAGGTGCACCAACACCCTTTATGGAGGACTTCTGGGGGCGCCGCCGCCCTTGGGAGGGCCTCCTAAGGACGTCGCCGCCCCGATGATTGTCCATAAAGGGGACTATGTATCTGGGAGGGCCCCTGGAGGCTCCGTTTCACCTGTAAGAACCCCTGGGATGCCATCACCCTAAAAAAGGACCCCTGTGATAGCAGATACCCCTCAGAGGGCCTCTGTGGGTACCACTGCCCTTGGGAGGGCGTTTGTGGGCGACACCACCCCAGTGAATTTTCCTGGAGGCACCACCACTCCTGGGAGGGACCTTGGAGGCGCTGCCGCCCCTTAGACGGCACCTAGGGATGCCGCCGGAACTGGGAAGGTCCTTGGGGGCGCCGACAGCCCTGGGAGTACCCCTGAGGGCGCCCCCACGCCTGTGAGGTCCATTGGCGGCGCACCAGCACCTAGCAGGTCTCCTGGGGGCAGTTGTTTTTGCTTTATTTAGAACTCTTGGAGATATTTTGAGGTTAAATATATACGATGCCAATCGCATTTCCAGTATCATTTCATCCTGAACAATGTAAAGCAGAACAAATATCCAACAGCAACACATAAGTTGGGGTGTTGTGTTGACTGACTGCTGTTCTCCTATTGGCTGTAGTTCGGTGGATTTACGTTTTAGTCCACCAATCACAGTTAAGTATGGGATTGTTGGACATGCACGACAGAACGACCTTACCAAGCTATAGAGCTCCCAGGAGGGTCGCCTCTGGTAGGGCCCTTGGGGACTCTGCCGTTCCTGGGAGGGCCACTAAGGGCGCCACCGCCCTTGGGAGGGTTCATGAGGGCGCTGCCACACCTTGGTAGGTCCCGTAGGGGCAAGCTGCCCAGGGCAGGGCCCCAGCTGCTCCTGGGCGGGCACTCAAGGGCGCCTCTGCCTATGGGAGGGCCCTTAGGGCCGCCACCGCCCCTAGGAGCGCTCATGGGGGCACCATCGCACCTAGTAGGTCCCATAGGTGCGCCAACACCCTTTATGGAGGACCTCTGGGGGCGCCGCCGGCCTTGGGAGGGCCTCCTAGGCACGTCGCCGCCCCGATGATTGTCCATAAAGGGAACCACGTATCTGGGAGGGCCCATGGAGGCGCCATTTCACTTGTAAGAACCCCTTGGATGCCATCATCCCTAAAAGGGCCGCTGTGGTAGCAGATACCCCGCAGAGGGCCTCTGTGGGCACCAATGCCCTTGGGAGGGCGTTTTTGTTCGACACCACCCCAGGGAATTTTCCTGGAGGCACCACCACTCCTAAGAGGGCCCTTGAGGGCGCTGACGCCCCTTAGAAGGCACCTAGGGATGCCGCCGGAACTGGGAAAGTCCTTGGGGGTGCCGACTGCCCTGGGAGGGCCCCTGAGGGCGCCCCCACACCTGTGAGGTCCATTGGTGGCGCACCAGCACCTAGCAGGTCTCCTGGGGGCAGTTGTTTTTGCTTTATTTAGAACTCTTGGAGAT